TGTGCCTGAACTTAATGGACATTACAAGTCTCTCCTGGCACTCCTGTTCTCCAGCCCCCTCCCCCACTTGGGTTGTTTTGTTTGGTTGGTAATCTTTGTAAGCAACTCATCAATTCTGTTCTCCTGTCCTCGTCTGTCTCCTGGTGCTATTTCTGTGGACACAACACCTTCTCTAGTCACTTGCTTTTCTTTCTGTGTTTAGGCTTTGCTATCAAACTTCTGTAACCGTTCCTTTCCAGAAGTCTCGAGTTTTAGGGAATTGAGAAGAAGTTGCTGCTCTCACGTGTCTGCAGCAAATGAAGACAGCTGCCTTAGGATGATAGTTGGGCAGTAATGTCTCTCCAGGAGCATTTACTCTCAGTGCACTAGTACAAAATAGGCGGTTTACCTTTCCTGGACCTTTAAGACCAATCAGTGTTTGTAAACAACCAAAAAGGTAAAACATCACAGTTCAGCCTTTGAGGTAAGGACAAGCGATACCACATAGCAAAGGCAAATGTGAGACCAAATGTCACAGGGTGTGAATGCCAAGTCTTCCCCTGCTCTTGTGGAAGTTAGCTGCAGTGCTTGTGTCCTTGGAAACAACATGGGAATGATTAATAAGAAATCCTGACCGGCGATATCCTTCAGTGGCACAGGCGGCTACCTGGCAAACGCAAGGTCCTGAGTTCGATTTCTGGCATCAAAAATAATAATAGTAATAATCAATCCTCTGCTTACCCAATAGGACCATTGTGAGGAAGTAGTAAGAGAATATATGAGGAAGTGTTCTATAATAATGGCAAATACATGCCTGTATTTTCTGTTTGAAATAAAAAGGTCTGGAATAAAATTGGAACTGTCATTTCCATATGCAGCCAGCTTGCCCTTATGTTTAATTAAGCACTTGTAAATGTTGGCCTTTTGTGTCCTAAATTTTTATTTCTTGCTGTACTTTCTCGTGAGGTAGGTTACCGCTGCTAACCCCCTGGTGAATGGGACAGCAAAGCACGGACGGTCAGAACCATCCCAGCAGAGAGGGGTTCTGTACTCGGCATTCGCTCCATTCTTTCCTTGGCCCATTGCTTAACACAGACCTCACTCCCTACTCCGGTGTTCTGTTTCCGCTGTGGAACATCTCGTGTGTCTACTGTGCTCTCCATTTAGACAGTGTGTTTTTACAACTGCCAGCCTCTCTGACTTCATCACCCCTCGGATTGGAACCCCCTTTTACCTCAGATCTCCATCTGGCAAATACCAGTTCATTTTCTAACCCTTTTTAATCATTGTCTCTTGTGTGAAGCCTTTCTCGGTTCTCTCATGCAAAAGAATAGATGCCAGATCAGTGTGCAAGAAACACCCTGTAGGAAGTTCTGTTTTAGCCTGAATCACAACGCATGTGACATCTGTTTACCTCTCTAAGCTCTTGAATTTCGAACCTGGCCACCATTGTATAAACCAGGTGTTTCATACATATCTTTGAACTTCCTGTTCTTAACTGAAGAAAGCTGTACTGTTTTACAATGAATATTTTAAAAGACAAAAATGAATCATTCAAAGAATTATCTACTAATTTTTTTTTAGAACCTGAAAGATGTTGATTTCATTTTTGCACTGAGAAAATTGAGGTAAGAACTCTAATAGAAAAGGAAAATGAGCCAGGTGTGGTGG